GACACTAGTGTAAATAATGTTCAACGATTCAACGGTTCATACTCAACTGTTCAACGTTCAATAAAATGTTCTTAACAGTCCATCCTCTCGACGGTTAGTTCAAGACAAAGTCTTAATAGCGTGATGGCATTCTAACAGCTCGCGTACTTGAGCGTATTGGTGATGTTCGTATCCGTAGATCTGTTGTCATCGGTAACTTCACTATTGGTGATGGTGTTTTGTTGGGTTGTGTTGTTAGGTTGCGATGCATATTTCCAGTTGGAGATTCAAATGGTATTATGCCGGTATCTGTATCATGCTCTATTTCTCGTGATTTCACTTCCTTCGTTGGCCTTAGGAATTTTCTGTTTCTTCGATATGTGTTTCCATTGATGTCGATGTTGTAAGAGCGGGGTGCAACTTGTCGTGTAACAGTTCTGTGATGCCATTTTCCTTCTCTGTCAGTAGGTAGTGCTTTCATTCGAATTGGCTGACCTATTTGTAATTCCGGAAGTGTTTCGGCATGTTGATCATAGTAGAATTTAGATTTACGACGACGCTGCTTGATGTCATCTGCAACTCCGTCAACTACTTTTGGATGTAGTAGTCTATTTGCAGTAGGTAGTAGCGTGCGAGTGCGACGTGACATGAGACGTTGTACCGGACTGCGGTGCGTTCCTTCAGTCGGCGTGTTTCTCCAATCAAGGATTGCTTTCCAGGGGTCTTCATTGTTTCTTTGTGATTTCTTTATGATTCTCTTTGCTATTTTAACTGCTGCTTCTATCTTACCATTAGATTGACTATGATATGGTGATGAGGTAATTACATTGAATTCCCAGTCATGTGCAAATCTCTTGAACTCAACACAATCAAATTGTGGACCGTTGTCTGACATAACAGAATCGGGAATCCCATGATGACTGAATTGTATTTTACAACAGTTTATGATCGTTGTTGCTGTTGTGTCAATTACCTGATCCACCTCCCAGTAGTCTGAGTAATAGTCTACCATTATCAGGTAATCTTTACCGCGGCACTTGCATAGATCTATGGCAATTTTGCTCCACGGTCTATCCGGAATTTCGTGGGTCATGAGTGGTTCTTTCTGCTGATTCTGTTGATATTCGTTGCAGGTACTGCATTGATTTACAGTGTCCTATATTTCTTCACTCATGTGTGGCCAGAATAGAACGTCACATGCTTTACGAATACATGCTTCAGCTCCTAGGTGACTGGAATGTACGCGTGCTAGCATTTCTGGACGCATTACTTTGGGTATTATGACTCGTGGACCTTTGAATAAGACGCCATTTTGAACATTGAGTTCATCACGATATTTCCAGTATTCGCGAGTGATGATTGGTGTTTCTTCTTTGATATCTGGCCATCCTGCAAGTATTGTTGTCTTAAGTACTTGCAGGGCTTCATCTTGATGTGTATGTTGTTGTATCTGATGTAATCGTTGGTCAGATACATTGAGGTATTCTGCTGCGTTAATGTTCTCTATTTCTGTATTGAAGTTTGTTTCTCGTTTGATGTTGAACATTGCGTACTGCGGTGTATCGCATTCTACTTTTCTCTGTGGTAGAGAAGCTCGGGAGAGGAAATCAGCGATGTACATTTCTATGCTTTTCTTGTTACGTACATCCAGATTGTATTTCTGTAGACGGAGTAACATTCGTTGTAGTCGTTTTGGAGCGGAGAGAAGCGGTTTCTTGAATATGATTTCAAGTGGTTTACGATCAGAGTCGACGCTGGTGGTGTTACGAGTATATACTGATCGAATCTTTCACAGGCGAATACGATTGCGAGACACTCTCTCAATTTGAGCATATCGTTGCTCAGTTGGAGATAGCGATCGAGAGGCGAATGCGACTGGTTGTTCGTTCTGTAAGAGTACTGCACCCAGTCCGACTTCACTTGCGTCACATTGAATGGTTGCTTCTTCCTTCACATCATAATATCTCAGTACTGGATGGTTTGTTGCTAATTTCTGTACTTCTTCTATGGCTTTATCATGGTGGGGTTGCCATGCCCAAATAGCATCGGTATCTGTTAGTCACCGAAGGGGTTCACACGTGTCTGATAAGTGTGGCAAGAATTTCGCTAGGTAATTTACAAATCCAATAAATCGCTGTACACCTTGTACATCCTTGGGTTTGGGCATTTCTATGATTGCACGTATCTTTTCTGGATCAGGACGCAAACCCTCTGATGTCAGTAAATGGCCCATATATCGCACTGATTTGAGACGCAGCTTCAATTTGTTCTTATTGAGTTTGAGGTTTACATCTCTGGCACGGTTCAGCAACCCAATGAGATTTTGATCGTGATCAATGGCTGCTTCTTCTTCTGTGTCACCACAGCCGTATACCAGGATATCGTCTACGATTACCTCAACGCCGGGTAGTGATTCGAGAACTTCATGTTGTCTTCTCTGAAACTCTTCTGGAGCACTATTTATGCCGAATGGCATGAGGAGCCAGCGATATCGCCCGAAGGGAGTCCAGAATGTAGTCAGATAACTGCTTTCTTGGTCTAGCTTCACTTGCCAGAACCCATCTTTTGCATCTAAGACTGAAAATGTTCGGTCATTCGTTAGTCGTGGTAGAATCTCGTCGATAGTTGGCATTGGATAATGTGCACGTTTCAAGACTTTGTTTAGATCTTTGGGGTCTAGGCAGACGCGTAGTTTTCCTGGTTTCTTGACTGCGACGATGCTGCTGATCCAGTCAGTTGGTGTGGTAACTTTTGTAATTACCTGTTGTTTTTCTGATGATTCTAATTTAGTTTTCAGTTCTGCTCTCATATGAACTGGTACCTTTCTTAGCTGGTGTTGTACTAGTTTCACGGTTTTATCTATTTCCAGATGGTATAATCCAGGTAGACATCCAAGACCCTCAAAAAGAACACTGTATTGCATCAGTATTTGTTGTTGAGTGAGTGGAGCTTGCTGAATGTTGGCTATGTAGTCCGACTTGTCACGTGTGGTGGTTGGCTGCTCTGGTTCTACAGTTACCATTTTGATGTGTTGATTCACGTTCACCGTTAGTAACTTCAGTAATTCACAGGTTTCAGACTACAGTAGTGGCTTCTGCATTGTATCAGTGACTTGGAATTTCAAATTGTATGTGTTACCTAAGTAATGGCATTTCAGGTTACACTGTCCAAGTAATGGCATTTCAGGTTACACTGTCCAAGTAATGGCATTTCAGGTTACACTGTCCAAGTAATGGCATTTCAGGTTACACTGTCCAAGTAATGGCATTTCAGGTTACACTGTCCAAGTAGATATATCATTGGCCCACCATACAACTTCAATATGGCTTGTCTGTAATTTTGGATCTCCATCTTGTTTAATTTTACAGTAGTCACTGAAGCTTATCATGTTGCATCTGGCCCCACAATCAAGCTGACACTTCAGCGTGTAGTTGTCTTCATTATTGTCACTTAGATTGAGTGACACAAACCACTGCTTTCCTGTTGTTTTCACTGCTCCTATAAAATGCTCTATGTGTAGTATAGATTCATCAGATGTGTAGTCATCTTCTATCTCTTCATCTAATATGTGTATTCTACGCTGGTCATGTTGTCTTTGCTTGCAGACTTTTGCAAAATGGTTCTTCTTACTGCACAGTTTACATGTTTGGCCATATGCAGGGCATTTTTCTTTGTTGAATACGTGTTTGCCACCACAGTAACGACATCTTCTTGGTCCTTGTTGTTCAGACGGATATTTGTCACGCTTTTGTGTATCTTGTTTACCCTTATACTTCTGTTTCTGTGCATAATGAACAACTTGTTCTTCCGGGTTGGTGCCACTAATTTTCTTCAGCTGCATTTGTGTTATTTCACTGCTTCTACACATCTCTATGGCTCGATTTAGGTCTAGTTTTGGCTCTTAACATTCTGGCTCTTGCACTATTATCTTTGGTTCCCAACACTATTCTATCCCTGATCAGTTCATCCTTGATGGCATCAAATTTACATGTATTAGCTAGCTGGCGTAGCCTGGTTACATACTGATCTATGGCTTCACTGCCGTCTTGGTCACACGTGTTGAACACGTATCTCTCATAAATCACATTGCGAGTGGGTTCAAAGTGTTTTTCTAGTGCATCTAATATTTCTTTGACCTCTTTTCTCTGAGCATCTGTCATGTCGAGATGTTTATACACATGTAAACAATCCTTTCCTAACACGGAGCGTAGCGTGGCAACCCTAATGGGATCATCTTTCTTATTTAATTCTGTGGCTATTTCATAGTCTTCCCACTGTGAACGGAAGAATGACCAGTTTTGAACCAGATCGCCTTTCATTTCCATGACCGCATGGAACAGGAAAATTATTAGAAGCCATGTTTT